TGATGACTAGCTTCGTGAGGAAATTCTCGGAGTTCTAGTTGAGAAGACGTAACTAATGGAGTTCAACCCTGTCGGGTATGTGTAGGCAGTAACACCAAAGACAAATGGGTGAGGTGGCGCGAAATTCCGTAGACCAATCAGAGTTAGACATTAACACCGTTGGATGCCGGTCCAGTGGTTCGATGATTAGGCGTTCGCCTACAATACCGAAGTTGTCGGGTTCAAATACTGCGAGGTGCATGTGTCGTGAATGTGCACTGCTGATGAGTCCCATACCAGGACGAAACAGCCATTGTCCAGTGCTTCCAGGTTTTTAATGGTGGTCTAACAATGATTGATTAATGATTTCAAATGTGTAAAAATACACAAACCTCCAAAACTATGCCCCAGAATTGTGTTTGTGTGACGACGGTAATAAGAAGCTCGATACGTATTCACAGTTGAATGAGTTTATTTCATACAACCAATTATTATTCACTCAGATAGACATGAAGTAGCCAACTCGATTCAATGAGGCATGACTGAGTATTTATTGTCAGACAAAAAAATAAGCTTCAGATATGTGATAATTGAAGTGTACCCGAATGCAGACACACAGGCACGTATTCAAGTATATACAGCCAAAGAGATATGAGTGATCACAAACAAACTTTGGCAGAGTGGATCAATTAATTTATTCAATAACAGGGACAAACCATGTGGGTTCGACATTAAAAGTAGACGGACGATAAGTTTCTTTTACAAAACCAACCAAAGTTAATCAATAACCGATAACTACGCCTACATAAAGAGATTGAATGATGTTATCAAATTTGTAATTAAGATAGTAGACAGACACAGACAGACAGATACAACGCAGAACTTCGTATGTAAGTACATTAGTTCAGGTTGCTGAAGCTGCTACTTTGACTTGGTGGTCGGGCTTCCCTATCGTGATGACCCGACTGAACTATATTGGCTGGAGCATATATTCCTGAAGGTTCTACCATGCCATGCAGGTCGATTGGAGAACGATGAGACAAAAGCAACTACTCAAGGTGTGAGGGCGAAGTTGTACTTCTGACTGTGATGGAGGGGTGTGACAGCAGTAAGGTGTTTCCCTTCGGACAACCAGCAGCATCTGCAGCGATGCTGCCTTCTCTCACAAGGAAGGAAGGATTCGAAAAGGTTGACCCTAAAAATGTCACACCTCACCTGGTTGCACGGATTTTTGTCTCCGTCGGTAAGGATGCCCACTAAGTGCTTTAAAAGAGCGAAGCTAATCCTCAAAAACCTTTGATAAAAAGGCCATGCGTAACCGGCCTCAAGCAGATGTCCCTTGAACTCTGAGATCACGCTCTCATGTCTCCAAGACCAACACTAATCTACCTCAAGAAACACACCCACAGTGTGGGCAGCCATGAAGTGACAACCGCCCTCATACCCGTAACAGCACGCGAGACCTAATTGGTCATAATCAAATCTTAATTAAGATAGTACAATTCAGTTTTGTGATCATGAATTGATCATTGTTTAGACTACCATTAGAAAGAAACTTGGAAATACTGAAAGATGGCCGTTTCATCCTAATTATAGTATGAGACTATTCATCAACAGTGCACATTCACGACTCCCGCTGGTTGCAGGAATCGAACCCAAACCATGCGGTCTTGCGCTCGATCTCTCAACTGGGTCGGCATACAACGACGGTATTCATGTTTAACTTTGACCAATCCCCGTGATATTGCGTGATACGATGGGTAACAACTGACAACATCCAAAGGCATTGAACTCCACTCGTTCTCAGATTGTCACTAGAATCTCCTCACAAATATCTTTAGGATGTGAAACGACCGTTCAGCTATTTCCATGTTTCTTTCTAAATGGTCGTTTAACAATGATTCACATGTTTACTTTCCTCAGTTTTTTTGATCATCCATCCATCATCCACTGATTCTGTATTGTTGTTGTTTTTTTCTGTTCTCCTTCGTCTCCCTATTCAAGTTGAATACAACCAATGCTGTAATGTATAAAAATTATACGACCACTTCTAATACTACTAATACCAATGATGAATTATCTACTCTATTTCATTGTATGATACATTTATTCAGTAGTATAGAACAAGATATATTTAATTTAATTAATTATTGTGAACAATTACAAGTTAGTTTAATTATGCCGTTATTAATTACTATTTCACATATCATAGAACATGAATTCAACAACACCAACATCAATTCTACAACAACACAACAAAATACTACTACTAACAACACTACTCATAACACTACTCATGAAAATTCTAATCCTTCTACTATCATCATCACCACTATGAATAATCATGATGAGTTGATGAGTAAGCATCAAATGAAAACGTATATTGGGAATTTTCTATCACGTTTTATGATTGAAACAAAACGTGCTTTTAATCGTTTGATAGTAAGTGTGTTTTTGTCTTAATGGTTAATTTATTGATGTGTGTGTACGTGTGTGTGTGTGTGGTGAAAAGTATTTTTTTGTGATATAATGTCGATGAGATGTTTCAAGCTTGAAGGTGAAATCAATCAGTCCGTTAGTTAGTCAGTTATAACGTAGAACTTCGGACGTACTCATGTACATCAGTTCAGGTTGTCATACTGCATTCAGTCAGTCAGTCAGTCAGATGCAACGTAGAACTTTGTACGTAAGTACATCAATTCATATTGCCATACCACATCAGCACAGAGATATAATTGTCAATTCAAATCCAATAGTAGAAGAGTTAGTAAAGGTATTAGAAGTAATCGAAGAGGTTAGAATTAGAAGATATTATTGAAGAAATATGATTCAGTGAGAAAAGTTTAGAAAGACAAAGGTAGAGGTGTTGAAGAATCCAGAAGATTAGGATTTGAGAGAACACAAAGAATAAATGCACACGCGCCATTGCGAACGATTTTGAGCCATGTCATTCAAGGTCTCTAACCATCGATTATTATCATCTCGCGGACCCCAACCAGGTAGTCGATAATAACCGACATTGCTCAGTCCACTTATCAATGACTTCATGGATTTCTGCCATGTTTTGGTCTGGCCGCCCCTAACTTTCTCCTAACCTACTCCTACACTACAAAACAAGGCACGTTGAGGCAGTTGGTGGTTGAGCATACACAACACATGTCCCAACTACCTCAACTGATGAAGTTTCATTACTTCATCTATTGATCTGCCATTCTTACCTAGCACCCGATTCCTAAAAACAGCGTTGCTCACTCGGGTATCCCAGGATATACTAGCAATGCTTCGAAGACACCTATGATCGAAAACCAGTAATCTACGAATTTCTTCTACTCTTACCAGCCATAAAGTAAGACGGAGCGAACTATTGCGCAGTACACTCGTCCTTTGGTTAACAAGTGGATATTTCGCCTGTGCCAAATAGTGACGCACGTTGGCAAATCCAATCGAGCTTTCTGTATGCGTGCTGAGATTTCGTCAGTCACCAGGCCATCAGCACTGATGAGACTCCCAGATAAGTGAAGCAGTCAACACGCTCGACTACTTTACTCCCTATCACTAGTTCAGGTGCCGATGAAACCCAATCTTGAAGCAACATTTTGCATTTCGAGGGGGAAAACCGCATCCTGAACATGCTTGCATTGTTGCTTAGGTTAGTCAGAAGACTCTGCATTTTGTCAGCGTCTTCACCAAGTAGGACAATGTCATCGGCATATTCTAAGTCAATAAACGAGCCTGCTGGTAGAAGGTCTGCTCCTGAAAATTCAGACGACGATAAAGTTATTTCTAGGAGCATGTCTACTGCATTAGCACAGAAAAACGCAATTGTCAGTTCAAATCTCATAGAAGTATTAGGGGTAATGGAGAAGATCAGGGTTTGAAGATATGATTCGAGAAGTATAATTCAGTCAGATAAATTTAGAAACAGAATGATAAAGGTGATTAGGATTTCAGAGAACACGATGAGTGGATGCACCTGCACCACATTACAAACGAGCTCGGTATTGAGTAATTACAATAGGCAGGTCGGACCACCAAATCAAGACAGCAGCTACAGTCGTCAGACTAAAGAACATTTTGTACCGATAATTGGAGATCGAGTTAGTCAGTCAGCTACGCTACAGCGTAGAACTTCGTACGTTTGTACGTCGTACATCAGTTCACATTGCCATACCACATTAGCACACAGAGATTAAATGGTCGATTCAAGTACCATAGTAGTACATTTAGTAAAAGTATTAGAAGTAATTGAGAAGTGTAATTCAGTTAAATTAATTTAAAAAAGGTAATGGGGTATTCAGAAGAATGGAATTTAAAAGAGACGACAATAAAAACTGATGCATCTGTGCCATCGTAAACGGTTCTGGGCCACATCATTCAAAGTTTCTAACCACCGGTTGGAAATAAACCTGAAAAGAATTAGTAATAATCGTAGACAACTAGAAACGCGGTCGCACGAGAGATTTAGAAACGTACTTACACACGCCTACTACCTCTAGTGTTTAGCATTGGCCGCTAACTAGTATTCTCCACCTGGAGCCCCTCTATGGTTACTAGCGGTCCTAAAGCCTGGCTAACCGGACCGTAGCTGCTACCTTGACGTGATGGTCGGGCTTGCCTATCGTGATGACCCAACCGAGCTATATTGACTGGAACATATGTTCCCGAAGGTTCTACCATGCCATGCAGGTCGATTGGAGAACGATGAGACTAAAAACAGCTACTCAAGGTCTGAGGGCGAAGTCGTACTGCTGACTGAGATGGAGGGGTGTGATCTTCCCCCCCATGTTCTACTGCCAGACATTACGTTGACACTCACGTCATATACTACTTATAAGTAGCTCGCACCACAAATATACCTTTTAAACTGGTCACGTTTTCAAATACCACACACACACTCTTTAACATGTTCAATTCTCTTTCTTTTTTTTTTCATTTTTTTTCAATTCTTAGGAACGTTTAATTATTTCATTTAAAACAAGTAAACCATGTAAAAAATTACGTTGTGGTATTTTACCAATGGTACGTAGTTATATTGAATTTGCTGAATGTTCCATGAGTGTATTTGCTAGTAGTTCACGTTTAGTGGATTTAGAACGTGCTCATGGGGAATTGATACGTTGTTTAATGACTGAAATTGATCGTGTTGCATCGGAAAGTGTTAAAACACCTGGTGAAGTGATTCAATTAGGTATGTTTATCATTATGATGATAATTATTGATTATAATTTTGATTGTTCTGATGATGATGATGATGATGATGACGGTATTTCTTTGTTATCAGTCAGTCAGTCAATAAGTCAGCTATCACCGCACAATATCGTACGTACGTACAGACATACATCAGTTCAAGTTGCCCGTACTATGTTAGCACACAGAGATGCGATTGTCACTTTCAATCCCATAGTCGTAGAGGTAGTAGAAGTTATGAGTCATGCAGTTTGAAGATGTTGTTTAACGAGTATAATTCAGTTGAAATAAATTTAAGAAGAGAAAGATGAAAGTTATGAGGAATTTAGAAGATTAGAATTCTGGAGAATACAAACAATGGATGCATCTGCGTCATCGCAGTCAGTCAGTCAGTAGCAATGTAGAACTTCGTACGTATGTACATAAGTTCATGTTGCCATACCACATTAGCACAGAGATGCAAATGTCAAATCAAATCCCATAGTCATAAAGATAGTAGAGGTATTAATGGTAATGAAGAAGACTAGGGTTTGAAGATATTATTATTCAAGAAGTATAATTCAGTGAGATAAGGTTAGAAGGAGAAAGGTAGAGTAAGTGCTGACGAATCCAGAAGGTTAGAATTTTGACAGCACACAAAGAGTGGATGCACTTGCTCCATTGCAAACGATTTTGAGCCATGTCGTTCAACGTCTCTAACCATTGGTGACTATCATCTCGCAGACCCCAACCAGGTAGTCTACACCTACCAACATCACCCAGTCCACTTGTCAGTGACTTCATGGATTTGTGCCATGTTTTGGTTTGGCCACCCCTAACTTTCTTTCAACCTACTCCTACACTGCAAAACATAGCTCGTCATCTTTCGGTTCAAAGATATTATTAAAGAAGTAGAATCTAGGGAAATAAACTTAAAAAGAAAAAAGAATCATAGCAATGAGGAATTCAGAAGTTTAGAATTAGAGAGAACACAAAGAATGAATGCACTTGCACCATTGCAAACGATTTTAAGTCATGTCACTCAGCGTCTCTAACCATCGATCACCATCATATCGTGGGATCCAACTAGGTAGTCGACTTAGTCAGCTTAGAAATGACCAAACCCACTGAAATGTTTAACATTATCAAAAGAAAATGCAAACATTTTTGCGAAAAAAAATCACTAAAAAAGAATAATTGCTAACCTTGATTTAGATACGTTTCCAGTGTTAATTACTCGGTCTCATAATCAAATGAAACAGTTTATTATTCATTCTTGGTTGCGCATTCATAAATCCTGCTACTCAAAGGATTTGAATCCAATAACTTTGATCTTGCGCGTGAACGCCTAACCCCTGAACAACTGATCTGGCGGCATCCAACAGTCTTTAAGTCTTACAGTCTTCATAACGAAAAAAACGTCTTTTTTGCTTGAATTTCAATGATATCAGTCTGTCGAAATTTCCAAATCTCAGTCAGTATACGTAAACTACTGAATCGGGCAATAATTATTTATAGGTTGGGGGAATAGTTCCGACTTTCAATCTGTAATTCCTAAGTTCGAATTTCGCTTTGCTTATTTCGGTTTACGTAACCTATAGACACAGCAGAGTGTAGTTCATACCTAAGTAATCTAGTGTATGAGTTAATAAAAGTTTTTAATCTCGATCACTTGTGATCACATATGATAATTCATAAACTTGAACTAAAAAACCTCATTTCTACAAGGAGTAGACTGTATTCAAATCGATCAGTTGATCATATGGAAATCTTCATGATTAAACTTTCAATGAAATCATGAATCGATCATAGGTAGACCACCATTATTCGAAACCTGGAAGAACTCGACACCTGTTTCGTCCTAGTATAGGACTCATCAGGACGATTTATGACTCCCTTGAAACTCAACCATTTTCACAATGAGCGTAGACGTTAAGATCAGATGGGGAATCAGTGATTTATTTTCACGAGATGTGTACACCGTTATGTTTAGGCTACCATGTACAAAACAAACAGATTTACTGGCTCTCTTCTATCAATTATTTTCTAATCTTCAAAAACATTTTGATTCACGCAGTCGTACCCTCCAATCCAACACTGTGCTATATACTACTTATAGTCTGCATTACGACTATTACAACTATCACAAAATCATCAGTTAACAATTTTTGTAAAAGATTAGTAAATTATTGAGTTTGTGCTTAAATCATTAATCAAAATGTTGACATTGGCGACAACAGGTTTTTTTTTGTGTGTGTGTGTGTGTAGACTTTTGT